GCTCTGCATAACGTCTCTCAACTGACAGGACTGTACTCTGCGACGGATACCTGCACCAATCGAATCAGCCTGGCGAATAACGGTTGTAGCAGAGAATCAAAGGCGGTTACACCCGATTTGACAGAGCATCAGTATATAAAGGCCCCGATTTCCAAGGGGCAAAGGGAATTTTTTGACGAAGTGCGCATCTCTACTCTTAGCTCATTTTCCTTTACTACTCTCTAAGCTCTCCACCGAATTCTAACTTAAGCATCAGAGTGTTCCCGCCGGGCGAGCTCCCCAGGAATCCTTCGTCTTCTTCTCCTTCTCAGGTGCTGTCTGTTGCCAGCTAGGAGCGAGGCCCCTGCCAGCTAGGAGTGACCAGATCGTGCTACATCATTTGGCACCGTCTGTGGGAACCGCTTCAAAAGGCCTTCCTACACCAATCACCACAACTTTTAGTAAGACTTCAATGGCTTCCTCCAACAACGCCGGACGAAATGCCGACCAAAACACCTCCGGGGAAGGACCTCAGCTCCCTACCGTCTGCATTGGCCAGTTCACTGTACCCCTCTCCACGGACGGAGTCCCTACCCTGAGCGTGCCTCAGGTCATGGTGCCAATAAATGCTCCACTCCCTTCGTCGGTGGAGGCAACCTTTGCAAAACTGTCAGTTCTCCCGGTGGTCGGACAGAACCAGCTAGAAAACCCGGTACATTGCGTGCGAGCTATGCAAGCTCAAATGCAGCAGGTCCACCAGTTTTAGTTGTACCAACAACAAATGCTACACCACGTCTACCAACAGCAGTACCAGCAACAGTTTCCACCGCTGCCTCAGCATCAACAGCAAGTTCCACCTCGACACCCCGCTATGCAGCAGGCCCAACCCCGTCATCGCAGCGAGCGTCTCCCTCGCCAAGGAGAGACCTCCCGAACTCAGAACCCTCTCAGAAGCAAGAAGCCAGGTCTCATCCCATGGCAGGAGGGAAAGACAAGTTACTCCCCCCACCTCACAGCCTGTAGTCAGGTCGGGGGCCTCTCAACCAGTCAGACCCGCGTCGCCTCGGCCTTCACAGTTCGAGCTTCTGCTCGCTGAGAACCAGTTCAAGGTTCTGGCCGCGGACTGTAGACAAGGCCCTTCAGTTCACAGCCATCAACAGCAATCAGTGCCCCTTCCTGGGCCCATCGAGCTCGGAAACACAGAAGCAAGCAGTACTAATGCCAAGCCAACGAAGCAGCGGAGACGCCGCCGAGCTTGCCGAACTGCCACTCACAACCTGCCCGAGCTCAAGGGTAAGGAAGAGGTGAGCTCGGATGAAGTGAAAGCCACTCCGCTCCTCTCAATGTCGTCCCCCTGTCTCTAGAACTTCTAGCCGTCCCTATGCCAAAGGACTTCAACCTTCCTCCCTTGGACAAGTATGACGGATCGTTCGATCCAAATGACCACGTCGATGCCTTCCAGTCGCAGATGCACTTGGCTAGGGCCAGTGAGTTCAGCATGTGCATGGCCTTCTCCACCACTTTCAAAGGGGTAGCCCGCACATGGTACAGGAACCTTGTGCCCAGGTCAATAAAAAACTAGGCGCAGTTCGTGCAAGTCTTTACCTCCCATTTCGTCACCAGCAAGCGGTGCCCGAGAACCCGGGAGAGTCTTCTCGGCATAGTCCAGAGGGAAGGAGAGACCATCCGGAGTTACATCAAGTGGTTCAATGACGCTTGTTTACAAATACCCGACCTGGACCCCGCAGTGCGGCTTACAGCAGCCAAGAGAGGCATCACGCACAAAGAGTTCAAGTGGCACGTGGTGGTCGATCGGCCCAAGACTGTAACCAAGTTCCTCAAGCTCGCGGACTAGTTCATAGGAACGGAGGAGATSAACCAGAAAAATGGAAGTGTGTCCGAGAAAAGGAAAAGGGAAGGTGAGTCATCGATCCAAGGGGACAGCAAGAAGAAAAAAGACCCAGCTCAGGGGGCAAGGCCAAGATAGCCTTTCCGAGCTCCTCCAGCAGAAAGGACTGACTACACACCTCTGAACACGAAGCAGGCCGAGATCCTTATGGCGATCAAAGATGCCCCGTATGTGAAGTGGCCACCCCGGCTGAAAGGGGACCCYAATGTAAGAAATAAGAATTTGTATTGTAGTTTTCATAAAGATCACGGTCATAGTACCGAGAATTGTAAGAACCTCCACGTCGAGATAGAAGAGCTCATCCGTCGCGGATACTTAAAAAATTTTGTACAAAACAGTAATAATAAGGCAGGTCGGCAAGGGGAGCAGGGTAGAGATGCTCCCGAGCCCAGCAGCAGGCAAGCAGAGCAGCCGCAGCGGCAGCCCCCTGAAGAGAGACCAGTTCGGGGGACTATTCATGTGATCGTCAGAGGTTCGATCGTCGTGGGCTGCACTTCGGCTGCAGCTTGGATTTCAGCTCGAGAGGTTGGAAGGGAGGAGCAAAACCCCCCGAAGCGGCCAAGGACAGAAGACCCGATCTTCTTCACTGAGGACGACGTGCGCGGGGTCCACTACCCCCACGATGACGTGCTCGTCATAAAGATAAGGACTAATGACTTCGAAGTCAAGCGTGTCCTCGTCGACTCCAACAGCTCGACAGACATTCTTTTCAAGGCAGCATTCGACAAGCCTCAGCTCCAAGAGAGCGACCTCAAGCCCGCAAGTACTCCCTTGGTGGGCTTCAGCGGAGAGGAAGTCGGGCCCTTGGGGAGAATYACAGTACCTGTGGAAGTCGGCACCTGGCATAGCATAGTGAGGCTTAACCACGACTTCTTGGTGGTCGCAACTCCCTCCCCGTACAACGCCATAATAGGACGACCCATCACCCACACTCTACGTGCGGTGGTCTCCACCTATTATTTGGCGATGAAGTTCCTCACGAACTTCGGAGTTGGGGTGTTCTCGCCGAATTCTAACTTAAGCTCATTTTCCTTTACTACTCTCTAAGCTCTCCACCGAGTTCTAACTTAAGTATCGGAGTGTTCCCGCCGGGCGAGCTCTCCGGGAATCCTTCGTCTTCTTCTCCTTCTCAGGTGTTGTCCATTGCCACCTAGGAGCGAGGCCCCTGCCAGCTAAGAATAACCAGTTYGCGCTACATCAAAAGCTTCCCTCAACAATTGGCTTGCATGTAAACCAAGACAGAGATTTATTTGATAAACAGACTTACGAAATAACATTTTGGGACAAATGCCTACATAGTGATGAACTAACACTATTTATKAATAAACGAAAGCCCTACCAAACATCGTTATTTTGGATTTGGATATTAATCAGTTGCATATGTATATATAGAAATGTCATATAAATAAGGGTTGTACTGTGATGCCGAAAAGAAATGGTGCAAAAAAACAAAAAAACAAAAAAACTTTTAGGGGATGTTTCATGTTTGGCACCATTGTTTGTTTTTCAGTGAAAAAAAAAAAAGAAAAAACAGTGCCATGTTGGCACCAAATGAGCGTTTTGATTTTTGACAATGGAAACTGTTATTCGGTTCGGCATTTTTTGAGAAAACAATGGGAAAATGCCTTACTAGTTACTACCTGTCAAATTGTGGAACCTGCTTCCTATGAAAACATCCTATTTGATGCAACGCGGTGTGATGATGTGGCATTGACAAGGCAACCATTTTTTTGGAAAAACTGTGGAGCAAGAAACGTCTTACCAAACAAAAAAAAAAATGCTATTTAGTGTTGCTGTATCTACTTGGTACTTAATAGCAACACTGCCAAACAAGATACATCGCCATTTTCTAAGAAAATTAACGATCTACAAATGCATGGACATATTTTCTCAGATATCGTTAACAAGGAAAAGGCATCAAAAACCACCATAACCAATCAACTCGCATCATATCATAAAAATAGTAGACAATCAAGTGGGTTTTCATCAAAATTCATAGAGGATTTTGATTGGCCAAAGCCTTACTAGTTTCATGTCACTCGGGCATCATAGATTTTTCCTATAATTATATAAACTTTCTCTCAACTTTTTTGTTTCTTCATTACTTTGAAAAACAAATACAGCCTACGAAGCCAAGAATTGGTAAATCAACTTGTCACTTAGTAGAATTTAATTTCCAATGTTGAGTCAATGTACATACTCATTTTAAACAGTTTGGAATTAAGCAAGTTGGCTCAAACAAGTAATTTTATTTTAAATGTTTCTGACTTTATTATTCTCTTTTAGTGGTGTGCTTCTTGGAAGACCATGAAACAATGTTGTCACCAATGTGGATGTAAAAACCACCGTGTGACCGCCTATCATTGAGGCAGCCAGCCCAATCAAAGTCAGAAAATATTTGGACATCAAAAGAAGCACATGGTTGAATGCAAAGGCCTGCATCAATAGTATACTTGACATAACGGAGGATACGCTTAACAAAGGCCCAATGAATAGTAGTATGAGCGTGCATAAATTGACACGCCTTGTTGACTACATAAGCCAAGTCAAGGTGAGTGCTGGGATCCGGAAGGGGATCACCATCATTGCAAGAGAGCTAAGTGGAGGACGCCATAGGTGTTTTAATGGGCTTGATGCTATCCATAGAGAGAGTTTGTAATAGATCTTGCATATATTTTCTTTGAGAGAGAAAGAGCCCAGATTTGGTGCGTATGGCTTCAATAACCAAAAAATAATGAAGTGGGCCGAGATCCTTGAGTGCAAAGCAAAAGCCCATTTGCTGAAATAATTGGAGATGGCATCCGAGTTAGGCCCAGTGACAATGATGTCATCAACATAGACAAATACATACAAAGGTGTAGTATCATGAGCAGAGATGAATAGTGACATCAGATTAAGACATGACAAATCCCTCAGCAGTGAGAAATGAACTGAGCTTCGAATACTAGGCCCAAGGGGCCTGTTTGAGCCCATAGAGGGACTTGCGTAAGCAACACACATAATTTGGATGATCATGATCAATAAAGTCGGGTGGTTGTTGCATAAAAACCTCTTCAGATAATTCTCCATGTAAAAAGGCATTTTGTATGTCTAGCTAGTGCAAGGGCCAGTGCTAAGAAATAGCAAGAATGAGAATAACCCTAAGGGTTGTGGGCTTAATAACTGGGCTGAACGTTTCACTGTAGTCTAGGCCTTCACGCTGATTGTACCCCTTGGCAACCAGTCGTGCCTTGTAGCGGTCTACAGTGCCATCAGGTTTTCGTTTGATACGAAAAACCCACTTATAGCCCACAACATTAGCATTGGAATTGGGTTGGACCAAATCCCATGTACCATTCCGTAGTAGTGCATCAAGCTCATCCTGCATAGCAACTCTCCAATGAGCATGGCGATTAGCAGATGAGAAGCATGTGGATTCCACCTCAAATAAAGGATACCGAGTAGAGACCAACGAGCATTTCTTGGAGGGGCAAAAAATGCCAGCCTTGGCTCGTGTAGTCATAGGATGAATATTTTGTTCTTGCAAAGGTTATAGAGACGCAGCAGGTGATATGCATGGGCCCATGGTGTTAGACAGTTTTGTATGCCCTTAGCTTTAATCCGGTTTGATGTACTTTTGACATTTAGTGTAAATAAAAAAGTGCATGTTTGATTCATGTTGTTTGGTATAATTCTGTATAAGACCCTAAAACTGGACACTTATAGAGACTCGTGTATTTTTAAATGTTCACAGCCATTGAATAGGTCTAGAGAGATTTATCCTGCCAAGGCTGATACTAGTGTGCCACCAAGTGTTGGGATGGCCTGTCTCGGCCACCAGGGTAAGACCCAAGGCACAKGYARTATGGGATTACTCGAATCCTTGAACCGGACCAGATTTTTAGTATTGCCCTGGACCTTGGAGACAGATGGGCAAAACTGGAAAGTTACACCTGACCCCTAGA